ATAATTGAACAAAAGATGAATTTTCAAGACAATAGTACATGAGACAAACATGTTAGATCAAATTTTATTTTTAACTGAATTTTTCAGTATTCAATAAATAGTGTGGTTTTCTTTTTCCCTTTGGAAGAACATTTCATTCTGTTGCCCAGGCTAGAGTGCCATGGCCTCAGCCTAGCTCACAGCAACCTCAAACTCCTGGATCCAGGTAATCTCCTGCCTCAGCCTCCCAAGTAGCAGGGATTCCAGCTGCCCACCATATACACCCAGCTAATTTTTCTATTTTTAGTAGAGATGAGATCTTGTTTTGCTTAGGCTGGTCTTGAAATCATGAGCTCATGGGATCCTCCTGCCCCAGCCTCCCAGAGTGCTGGGATTATAGGTGTGAGCTGATACACACCTTTAAAGTGCTTTTTGTACACTAATGTCTTGATCCATCTTTTTTAGTTTTATTATTACCAATCTTTGTATTTTTCTATTTTCTATTTCATTGAATCCATTTGTATACACATTTCAAAATAATCTTTTCCTTTTTCTCTTTAGCTAAATAAACTGTCACACATTCTTTTCTGCAGGTTTTTGTTTTTTTGAGATAGTTTCATTCTGTCACTGTATAGTGCTATGGTGTTATTGTAGCTCACAGCAACCTCAAACTTTTGGGTTCAAGTGATCCTCTTGATCCAGCCTTCCAAGTATGGGATGACAGGCACGTAGCCACCATGCCTGGCTAGTTTTCTATAAATGATTTTTAAAGCCCTGATTTATGCATTTATAATTTGCCAACGTTTTCGGCTTCATAAATAATTTCCTTTTTCTTTAAATGTCATGACCAACATATCTGGAGTCTTCGCTGTTTTACAGTTAAAAGTTTGTAACACTAAGCTATTATTTTTTTTTTTTTGAGAGTCTCACTATGTAGCCCTTGGTAGAGGCCATTCCGTCACAGCTCACAGCAACCTGAAACTCCTGGGCTTAGGCGATTCCCTTGCCTCAGTCTCCCAAGTAGCTGGGATTATTAGGCATCTGCCACAACACCCGGCTATTTTTGTTGTTGTTGTTGTAGTTGTCATTGTTGTTTAGCAGGCCCAGGCTGGGTTTGAACCCACCAGCCTTGGTGTATGTGGCCAGCGCCATAACCACTGTGCTATGGGAGCCAAGCCACACGAAGCTATTTTTTTTTTCCACAAAGCTGTTTTGATCCAAACACAATTATGTAATAGAATGGTACTTCTGTTTCAGTGTGCAGCACCTGGTAACTAGATTATTTGAAGTTCTTCCTCAGCACAGGTGTTCAAAATCAATTTATCTTCCTTTCAAGATGGTTTTAATATCAAGTGTGTCAATTCTCAGAACACTGTTTTTCCCAAGAAGTATCAGCTCCAGAATTGTATCAAAAAAGAGGGAATAAGTATTGTCTCTTTGCCATATCTAGCTGGCACCTCTCTGGTCCAAAAGTTAGAGGCTACGTAAGTCCTTTAAGGGGAGAGATCTTTGGACTAAACTGAAAGCTGCTTCTTATTTCATTATAAGTGTTAAAAAGACATTATCCACCTCATTTTATTTTCTAACAGATGTCTTACTGTGCCTGACTAACTATAGTCGAGGAGGTGATGGTCCTATGTGTCGCCCAGTAATTTTGTTGCCAGAAGACACTGCCCCCTTCTTAGAACTTAAAGGCTCACGCCACCCTTGCATCATGAAGACCTTTTTTGGAGATGATTTTATTCCTAATGACATTCTGATAGGCTGTGAGGAAGAGGAGGAGGAAAATGGCAAAGCCTATTGTGTGCTCGTTACTGGACCAAATATGGGGGGCAAGTCTACACTCATGAGACAGGTAACTTATCCTTGAGGTTTTGTTTCCTTACAAGGTTCTATTATTGCAAAGTTATTTTTAACACTAGGAATGAATATATTACATATTTAGGACATTTTCCAAACAGCACAGTTACCTAAAATTCAGTTAATGACTCAATTAGGAAGCAAGGAGAGACTACTTGTGTTATGAAACTGAGAATCTTATTTACCTCACCATTAATGGAGCATGTATCTCTGCTTAATATTAAGGAGGAGTGAATGATAAAAAGGGGAGGGAGGCCATTGACTTGACTGAATTTTCTCAAGTGAGTGTACTCATAATGAACAAAATTAACAAAGGGTATATGTAAGAAAAGATGAAATGTTGCACATTTGTTCCTAAATGAAATTAATTTGTAGAAGCCCTTCTTATAAAAGACCTATGGTAGACTTAGGTAAAAAGCAATAAAAAGTTTATGACCCATAGCTACTTTTGAGAACTACTTGTAGGGATGACATGATGGCCTTTTTGATAAATAAAATATTTAGCCTTTATACCAAGGGTTGGCCAGCCACACAGCTTAAAACAAAAAAATATAAAAATCATTTGTTTTGTTTTTTGGGATGGAGCCTCAAGCTATCCCCCTGGATAGAGTGCCATGGCATCACGCTCACAGCAAACTCCAACTCCTGGGCTCAAGCGAGTCTCCTGCCTCAGCCTCCCAAGTAGCTGGGACTACAGGTGCCCTCCACAACGCCTGGCCATTTTTTGGTTGCAGCCATCATTGTTGTTTGGCGGGCCCAGGCTGGGGATTCGAACCCGCCACCTTAGGTGTATGTGACTGGCACCTTAGCCGCTTGAGCCACAGGCGCCGAGCCGGTTTTTATATTTTTTATAATTTTCCAGGAAAAACCAGGTAGTGTTTGCTGACTCCCTACACCATATTTTCACCTAATTCATTAACCAGAGAGAGGCAGAATAATGTATGCAGTGGTTTGCAGCCTTTTTTTTCCTTCTTTAAATCACTTTAAGAATGTAGATTCATTTGATTTGGTTTTAGGCATCAGTTTTAAAGAGCTAGGTGATCTACTCTGTAGCTAGAGGATGTTTTGAAGGCGAGTTACGCCCTACCCCTCGTATTTTTCTCAGCTTCACTTTCTCCATCTTAGCAATGGGTTTAAGAATAAACCTTTCTTTTTAATCCCAGTTTTAAAAGACCTTTTCCTCCCTCATTCACAGGCTGGCTTATTAGCTGTAATGGCCCAAATGGGTTGTTATGTACCTGCTGAAGTGTGTAGGCTCACACCGATTGATAGAGTGTTTACTAGACTTGGTGCTTCAGATAGAATAATGTCAGGTGAGTTCCCACCCCCCCCACCCTCCGCAAGGCTTTATTATGCAACAATTCATTTAGAAGTGATAGACGTTTGCCTCTTGAGCCACTTCAATTTGATGTTTGATTTTTCTGGTGTTACATAAAAGCCAATTACTTCAGATATTTAAAAACATCACTTTTATTTATTTTTTTTGGTAGAGACAGAGTCTCTATTGCCTTCGGTAGAATGCTGTGGTATCACACAGCAACCTCAAACTCTTGGGCTTAAGCGATTCTCTTGCCTTAGCCTCCTGAGTAGCTGGGACTATAGGTGCCTGCCAAAATGCCCAGCTATTTTTTGTTGCAGTTTGGCCAGGGCCGGGTTTGAACCCACCACCCTTGGTATATGGGGCTGGCTCACTTGAGCCACCTAAGGTTTAATTTTTTGTATTACTGTGTAGCTCATGATAGATTAAGTAATGATTTGCAAAATGGTCATCGTTTTTCATTTTTTTCTTTTTAGGTGAAAGCACATTTTTTGTTGAATTGAGTGAAACTGCCAGCATACTTAAGCATGCAACAGCACATTCTCTGGTGCTAGTGGATGAATTAGGTGAGACATTTGAAGGCTGTCTTTAAAGAAAAAAATATATATATTGCTCAAGCTGGAGTCCAGTAGCCTTAATCATAGCTCATTGTAACCTTGAACTCCTAGGCTATTCAGTATCTCAAAGTGTTGCTAGTATAGACGTGAGCCACCATGTCCAGCTTGAAGGCTATCTTAAATATATTGGTACAAAGAACTATTTTTCTGGAGGATTATCTGAAGGACATCTAAATATGAATGTCTTTATAGAGCATGTACTCAGTGTTGTGGCATAGACCCACAGGTGGGGATAAAAGATATGAAAGATTTTTAATTTTTTAATTGATTATTAAGGCTGATTAAAGCCCTAATACAGAGAAAACCTAACAGGAAGTTTCTAAACTTGAGCAGTACTCTCAAAGAAACCCCACTCCCTTAGGGCTTTTAAGCAGACTCACTTAGGTCTTAATGATTTGCTTTTGGGTGTATTATTAATGTTACTTTCCTATCCTTTTTTTGTTTTGTTTTATTTTGCATCATTTTTGGTATAAAAGGCAGATTGTATACAGCATACAATCTATGCATATTTTACTTTCACAGGAAGAGGTACTGCAACATTTGATGGGACAGCAATAGCAAGTGCAGTTGTTAAAGAACTTGCTGAGACTATAAAGTGTCGTACATTGTTCTCTACCCACTACCATTCATTAGTGGAAGATTATTCTCAAAACGTTGCTGTGCGCCTAGGACATATGGTATGTACAAATTATTTATTTGAAAGCTCTGTTTCTTGAGGAAATCAAGTTGCTAGCATATGAACATTTTTCTTTAAGGCATGCATGGTGGAGAATGAATGTGAAGATCCCAGTCAGGAGACTATTACTTTCCTCTATAAATTCATTAAGGGAGCTTGTCCTAAAAGCTATGGCTTTAACGCAGCAAGGCTTGCTAATCTTCCAGAAGAAGTTATTCAAAAGGGACATAGAAAAGCAAGAGAATTTGAGAAGATGAATCAGTCACTACGATTATTTCGGTAATTATAATGGGATGATCCCATAGCTTTTAATACTTAAATTTAAGTTTTCTGGGAAAACATTGAACAAGGACAGGGGAATGATGCATCATAAAAAGCAAAAAAAAAATTTTTTTTTTTTTTTTAATTTTAAGGGAAGTTTGCCTGGCCAGTGAAAGGAAAACTGTAGATGCTGAAGCTGTCCATAAGTTGCTGACTTTGATTAAGGAATTATAGACTACATTGGAAGCTTTGAGTTGACTTTTGACAAAGGTGGTGAATTCAGACAACATTATGATCTAATAAACTTTATTTTTTAAAAATGACCATTTTTCCATTTTCTTTCTAGGAAATTAAACCCTTTTAATTCTTATCTACCTTCTACATAATGGTTATTGAATATTCCACAATATATTAAGTCTAGATGTTATGGTACATGCATACACTTTCAGGCTGTTTTATACCCACTGTCACCAATACACATAAATGGGGGAGGAAAAGCTATGAAACTGTATAGGGCTGTATATATACTTGTCTCAGCTTAATGCAGGAAATTGTTTTAATTTCCAGCAGTTTTGTCTAAACTGTTCAAAAAAAAAAAACTATGAACAGAGTTCAAATACAGGACTGTTTTGAAGAGACTTTCTAAAGTGTACTTTAAAACATAGTAGTTTTTACCTTTCACAAAACTGAGTTACAAGAATACTTTTGTTTTACAGTGCATCCCTTCCTAGGAAGTCTCATTAAAACACTCACTTTTTCTAGGGGTGGTTTTGAATGCTGCACAGGGAAGGGAAGGAAATAATAGACTTAACTTTTCTTAAAGGATACCAGAAACATTGCTGGATATAATTTAAGATTAGTGTTTTCTCTTTCATAGAAAGAACGTACATACTGGGACATGAGTACAGTTACAGCAAGTCTAGGTGTGCTAACAAAACAGGGCACATTCAAGTACAATAAGATTTTGCTTGAAATTAAAAACAAACTACATGAGATTAAAGCATTAAAATCATATTTCTCAATCTGAATACATGTTTTAAAAAAATCAAAAGAAATGCAGAAGTGCTAGCTCACATTTTTACCATATTACAAAAGCAATTGGTACCCATGTCCATAAAGGCAGCAACAAAGCTGCTTGTCTATTGAAGATTACTACTGCAAATTGGACTGCATTCAATGCTAGTTGTAAAAACACCAGCTTTTTTCAGAAGTTGGTATCTGTACAAAATTGCAGCTTATTTTTCTTCACTTTTGTCCCTTCAAAAGTCTTTACACAGTAATGCTAAAACACCCAGCTTTGAGATCCTGAGTCATTATATTGCCACTTTCTTTTTGGTAGCTTGAGCTTCATAGTGTCAACTGACCTTGTGTATCCATTTTTAATACAGTCTCTTCCTGTAGCATGGGCAAATATTTTAAATCTTCTTCCAAAAAAATGTTTTAAGTTATGATGTTAGAATGGCAGGACTTTATTCTTTAGGGAAGGAATTCAGTTGTGCTGCAATGTATTAGATTCTATAGGTGGAGCAGAGTCATATAGTGTATCTGTATCATGTGTAGGCTCACCAGCTAATGTACAAGGATTAGACAGTGTTCCAGCACCACAGTCACAGAAAAACCTAAAGCAAAATGAAAACCCAAAAATTAGGAAAGTGATGGGGAAAAGAAAAAAGGGTAACATAGCAAGCAAGTGTGCTACATACCTATCATGTCTAATAAATTCTACATCATGTCCCTGATGGCACTTCTTAATGCAGTTCACGCATATGGCATTTCGATCTGTGGTGTTACAAGTGTGACATCTAAAAAGCAAAAGCTCATGTTACTTTTCTCAAATATGTTATTAATTAAAAATATTGCATTACGTTTCTAAGAGGATAAAAACTGAACATTTTGGTGGCTCCAGCCCAGATTAATTCTGAAAAGGAACTTCAACAGGATAAAAGTTAATTTCCTATCATGTGTCTTCTAAGGAAAAGGAATGATTTTGTAAGTTATAGAAAGGCAATTTAAACTTTCAGTTTAAAAAAAGGTACAAGTCTCTGCGACAAATCAGTTTTGGGGAAAAGTGAGTCAAAACTGTCTCGTGATTGAACACTTAGAGCTTTACTGTGAAACTCTTAAGAAAATGATACTGACATCAGTTACTGCAATATTGCATTTTTACATATTCATGGTTGTAAACACAAGATTCTCAAGTATACCAATTATAGATCCCAATATCAAAAATTACAGAATTTTCAGCATTTTGGAAATCACTATGTTCCCCTTTTCAGGATTGAGAAATAATTTAGAAATATACCTGTAGAAATCATGCATGGGGTAGCTGGTATAACTTGATATTTTATATAAACATTGGCCTCTACTAACAGCCTTTTCTATGGCATCTTGATTGTTCATTATTTTGTTATCTGTAAAGAAAAAGTAAAAAACTATAGGATTATCCTAAGAGAGGAGCCACTATTATTAAGAGCTTTAAACGAAGCTAACCAATAAAGTAGTAATTCTAAGAAAACAGCTTAGAAATTAATTTTTCCTTGTGCAGGATATTCCCAACTCGTCAACTGTCGTTTCCTTCAGAACAGTTTAATTATAATTATTACTACTATTAGGGCCGGGTTTGAACCCGCCACCTCCGGTATATGGGGCTGGTGCCCTACTCCTTTGAGCCACAGGTGCTGCCTGTTCTCCTTTTTTTTTTTTTGAGACAGAGCCTCAAGCTCTGTCTATCCCCCTGGGTAGAGTGCTGTGACATCATAGCTCACAGCAACCTCCAACTCCTGGGCTCAAGCAAGTCTCCTGCCTCAGCCTCCCAAGTAGCTGGGACCACAGGCGCCTGCCACAACACCTGGCTATTTCTTGGTTGCAGCCGCCATTGTTATTTTGGCAGGCCCGGGCCGGATTTGAACCCGCCACCTTAGGTGTACGTGGCTGGCGCATTAGCTACTTCAGCCACCTGAGCCACAGGCGTCTAGCCCTGTTTTTGAAGTCTTAATTTGTCACCCTTGGTAGAGTGCTGTAGCATCACAGCTCATAACAACCTCCAGCCCTTGGGCTTAGGTGATTCTCTCCTGAGGAGCCAGAACTATAGGCACCTGCCACAATGCCCAGCTATTTTTTTTTTTTTGTTGCGGTTTGGTCAGGTTCTAACCTGCTACCCTTGGTACAGGGGCCAGTGCCCTACTCACTGAACTGTAGGTGCCACCCTAGTTTTCTTAATTTTAAACAATGGCTTCTGGTTCATAGCATCTTTTATATATTTATAGAAAGAATGGCAACATACCTTTCATTGTCACATTAACACCAGATGCTAAAAATAAGCCTCCAAATCGGTTGTTAAAAATCTGATTGCCTTCTAGTGTTGCAGTTGCATGATTTGTAATTTCAATACCTGAAGTAAAATTTACAAACAAGTAGATGTATGACTTTATGCTGTTAAAAGAAACCTGAAATCAGCAAATATAGTAAACTGGTTCTTAATGTGCAAAGAATAAAATGCAAGTATGAGTCACTGACAGTAACATTCACTTCACTGTTAACTGTCCACTATCCTTGCTAAAGATATAGTTGGTTCCTAACTTCTATTATAACATGTGCAAAATTTTGTTGCAAACTATGCAGAGGGAGATAGTGACCCAAAATATGTTCACATGAAGAAAAAAGGAATTTCATTCTAATGTATATGTGTGTATATTACACACACACAGTTTTTTTTGTTTTTTTTTTTGAGACAATGATGTTGCCTTGGGTAGAGTGTTGTGATGTCACAGTTCACAGCAACCCCCAACTCTTGGGCTTAAGTGATTCTCTTGCTTCAGCCTCCCTCCCGAGTAGCTCCGACTACAGGTGCCTGCCACAACGCCTGGCTATTTTTGTGGTTGCAGTTGTCTTGTTGCTTGGCAGGCCTGGGCTGGGCTGGAACCTGCCAGTTTGGGTATTTTGGCCAGCGCCCTACTCACTGAGCTACAGGCACCAAGCCTACTAATACGTTTTTTAAGCATCCCTGTGAAATGAGCAATTCAATTTGTCTATATTCCTAATGGTAGTAATAAAAGTGTAATTATTCCAATTAGTGTTTTGTAATTACAATTAAATGGATTAGTACTTCTCTTAGAACTATGGCTTAGAATGAAAGACTCCAGAACTTGATTAGGTGCCCTCATAAGTAATAGCAAATACACAGGCATTCAAGTTAGTAACCACAAGAGAACTCATATACCCCACATCAAACGTTTTACAGAAACAAATGCCATAGATAAACAGAAAACACAAACCTGCAGCAAATCCATCAAATATTCTGTTTTTCCTTAAGATCGGATGACTATTAGTGCTGATGAGAACACCTGCTTGAGCATTCCTGAAAATATCATTTTCTTCAAGGAGACCTATAATAAAATATTTCCTTAGATTAAGGCTAATGCATATAACAAACCTTACTAGACTTTCTAGTGACAGGTTTTCTTTTAGTTTCTTATTAACTGCACTGTAAAATTCACAGGACTATATATTTTTTTCAGCCAAAACCAGTTTATTAGAGATTAAAAGTTTAACAAAAAATTTGCTAAAATGACAGATCAGAGCATTCTATCCAATAAAATGAAATTTCCATGATGGTAGGGACCATGTCTAAATTTACTCACTGTATCCCCAGTACATGGTACAAAGTTAATTCTCAATGTTGCTGAATTAAAATTAATTCCTTGGAAATATTTCTACAATCTTTGCACCTTTTCTTTTCTCTCTTCAGGCAAGCAAGCCCTAACTCATTTCTGGCCTTTTTACTATAATCATACCCTGATCAGTATTCTCTCTATCATACCCTTTCTCTGCTTTCCAACAACTGAGTTTTTTTAAAAACCAATTTGCCATGTAAAGCCTCTCGGAATATTCTCCAAATCTACTTGTCTTAGTATAGACATTACTTGTTTGCCACGCTATACATTTTTTTTTTTTTATTAGAGTCCCACTTTGTTGCCCTCAGAGTGCTATGATGTCACAGCTCACAGCAACCTCAAATCCCTAGGCTCAAGTGATTCTCTTGCCTCATCCTCCCAAGTAGTTGGGACTACGGGCACCCAGCAAAATGCCCGGCTATTTTTAGAGGTGAGGTCTCACTCTGCCTAGGGTTTGTTTTGAACTTGTGAACTCAGGCAATCCACCTGCCTCTGCCTCCCAAGTGCTGGGATTGCAGGTGTGAGCTGCCATGCTGGGCTTTATGCTATACATTTTTATCCCTATTGCCTTTTGGAAAGTTCTGTACTCTTCTTTCCTAATGTCACTTCCTCTGGGAGGTTTTCAGCTTTCCTCCGTCTGGCAGTGTTTAACTATTTATTTATTTGAGATAAGAGTCTCACTTTGCCGCCCCTTAGTAGAGTGCTATGTCATCATAGCTCCCAGTGACCTCAAACTCTGACTCAAGCCATTCTCTTGCCTCAGCCTCCCAAGTAACTGGTACTGTATCTGCCTGCCACAATGTCTAGCTATTTTTAGAGATGGGGGGTCTTGCTCTTGCTGTCTTGAACTCTTAAGCTCAAGCAACCCATCTGCCTCAGTCTCCCAGAGTGCTAGGATTACAGGCATGAGCCACCTTGCCTAGCCTTTTAACAATGATTAGAGTGGGCTAAAGAATCAGACTTCAGGCCTTCAGAAACTGGCCCCACCATGTACTTCATCTTATTACTAATTTTTTTTTTTTTGCACTCTTTGGTGGGGTTGGGTTTGAACCCGCCACCTTCGGCATATGGGGCCAGCGCCCTACTCCTTTGAGCCACAGGTACCGCCCACCCTCATCATCTTAGTGGGCAATACTTACCTCTGCTTCCTCATCTGTAAAATGGGACATAATAGCACCTACCACATAGTGTCACCATGAGGACTGAATGCATTAATACATTTAAATACACAGTACTAAATAAGTATTATCTAATATCCTATAAAACATACTTAAACCTCTATAAAACCTATTTACATATAATGAATTGCTTTTGTGCTAGCATTTCTCTGCTCCCTAAAGATGTGAGACATGTTTTTCTGTAGTCATTTGACTTGCCTGATATTTTACAGTACTGACCTCTAAATTCCTTTCCTTGGAAGACAGGGTAAAATCTCTCCAAAATGACTCAGAGACTTCCTGAGATTTTCTTTCTTCTGTTCACTTTTTGATATTAAAATTTTCATGTTTGATTGCTATCTCTTGCCCTCTACACGTTCTCTGGGTACAACTATAAATATATGCAGCTGCTCATTCTTAAATCTGTTTCTTTAGTTTAGGGTAACTTGGATTATCTCAAGGATTCAAAATCCTTAAAACTGACCAGTTCTTCCTATATTCCTTACCTCAGTGAAAGGTACCACCCAGCAAATTACCTGAATGAGAATTCTGAGCACCATATTTCAGTCTTCTTCCCACCTATGTGACCCAGTTCTGTTTGGTTCTGTCTTTTTTTAACATCATTAACATGTGCCTCCTGCTTTTTCCACTCTTCTCACTTTAGTTCGGGCTCTCATTATTTCTTGCCTAGACTATTCCATGTCCTTGTCTCAAATCATGCTGCTGCTAAGATGGAGTTTAAATTTCTTATTTTCACGCAGATAGCCTTGCTCCTTCTGGCCTCAACTTTTAGTACCCCTTGCCTTACTAAACCACTTTCAGTTTCCTTTCAATTTTTGTTTACAGTGTCCATTAGATTATATGTTTTATGGATGTTGTACTGGTTTATTTACCATCTGTATCATAGTGGCTGGCATAGGGGTGTTCAATCTGTATGTAAAACAACAAATAGAAGTGAAATAACATCTGGGATGGCCTGTTTACCCCCATCGCCAATTTACCAGCAAACATCTACTTTTTTTTTTTTTTTTTTGAGACAGAGCCTTACTTTGTCACCTCTGGTACAGTGCTGTAGCATCATAGCTCACAGCAACCTCAGACTCTTGGGCTCTAGTGATTCTCTTGCCTCAGCCTCCCAAGTAGCTGAGACTACAGGCTCCTGCCACAATGCCCAGCTATTTTTAGCTCACTCTTTCTTGCTCAGGCTGGTTTCCACCGGCCTCAGGTCCAGAGTGCTAGGATTACAGGCATGAGCCACTGCGCCCGGCCCATCTACTTGGTTTTTCAATACACAGCTCAAGGGGGGGGCTGACTGTATGAACCTTTTCTCAACACCTTGCAAACAAAACTAACCATTCTGTATTGTGTATCATCACTGTATCTTGTAAAGACTCCTATCAGAAACATGTCACTTTATTGAATTACTGGAGTGTAAGCTCCTTGAGAGTCTGTCATTAATGGAATCATCACTGTAGACATGTTGGGTTACTGACACTTTAGGAACAGTGATAAATTTGCATTTCATATTCTCCCCCAGTCTATGAACATATGGATTTGCAAGGGGCAAGCAGTGTGGAACTTTAGCCTCAATGTAAAAGTTGACCTTTATGGATACCAAACCAGGTACATCTTGGCTTCACTAATTCCATTCTCCAACAAACACAGTTGAAAACAGTTACAAAAATAATACCCATTTACTACAGACATGTATAGGTATTTACAGACCAATTAATTTCTCACAGCTAGTTCTATAACTTGACTTTCAAATTTATTATAATCACATCACTATTGTGAATAATAAAAGGTTCAGAGAAAGAATGTAAACAAATTCTGCTATCTTAAAAAGCCTTAACAACTTGGTAGAGTCAAGGTGGCTACAAAAGGAAAAGCAGTGTAAACATTTATCTCTTTTAACTCTAGGCACTAATCTAAACCATCTCAACTTGATAAAGATTCACTCAACTCATGTTAGTTGGCAATATCATTGATCATTAAAGATATGGAAGAATAATGGAAAACTGGATTTTTCACTAATGCAAAATTAACAACAATACCTCGACCCCCATTAAATATACAGATGCCACCATCTCTTCCATCATGGATTTTATTTCTTCTTAGTGTAGGATTACTGTCTGTCTTAATCCAGACGCCAGCCATTGCATTGTCAAATATTTCATTGTCTTCTATACAGCCTAGACCTATAAATGCAAAAATTTAGGTTATGTTATTTAGAGGTTTTTGTTTTTGTTCTGAGACAGAGTCTCACCAATGTTGCCCTCAGTAGAGTGCAATGGCATCACAGCTCACAGCAACTCTTGGGCTTAAAGAGATTCTCTTGCCTCACCCTCCCAAGTAGCTGGGACTACAGGCATCCACCACAATGCCTGGCTTTTTTTGGTTGCAGTTGTCAAGTCCAGCTCATGTTGGGGATCAAACCTATCAGCTCAGTGTATGTGGCCAGCACCCTACTCACTTAGCTATGGGCCTGAGCCTGTGTTTTGTTTTTGAGACAGTGTCTTGGCTTGCTGCCCAAGCTGGAGTACAATGACATGATCATAGTTCACTGCAGCCCTAAACTAACTCAGACAATCCTCCTGCCTCAGTCTGCTAAGTAACTGGGATTACAGGCAAATGACACCATGCGCCAGCTTATTTTTTGTAGAGACAGGTCTTTCTATATTACCCAGGATGGCCTCAAACTCTTGAGCTAAAGCAATCCTCCCACCTCAGCCTCCCAAAGTGATTATAGGAGTGAGCCACCATATCTGGCTAGAAGGTATTTCCAAAGTGTATTAACATAGAGAAAGAGATGACAGATCAAACATACCAGAATTATAAACTAGAATTCCACCATTCTGTCCTCCCCAGATTTTGTTGCGTCTAATTTTGGGGTTGCTTCCAGTCCTATGGATGAGATAGAAAGTAGTACCATTTCAATAATTTCTATTCCCATATCCCCACATTACATGAAGTAATAGTAGAGAAATCCACATTAACATAGTAAAGAGTTTTTTAATTGTTTAACCCAGGACTTCCCATGAATCCTTTGCTACAGATATTACCACAGTTTCCTAATATGTACACTAAACTGAGGGGGATTAAATGACTTTCATTAGTATTACATATTCTTATACGTAGAATGGAGGCAGGCATACCTCAGAGATATATGTATTGCTGGTTTGGTTTCAGACTACCAAAATAAAATACAAATCGCAATAAAGAAGAGTCACACATTTTCTTGGTTCCCCAGTACATACAAGTATAAAAGTTATGTTTATACTAAAGTCTACTAAGCACGTGAGAACACAGTTTCTAAAAATACAATGTAATTGTCATTAATTGTCCTCATATCAAAGCTGAATACATAGGATTCATGCTTCTCCATTCCTGTGATGCTTCACTAAGAATAATGTGTTCCACCTCCATCCAGGTTAATACAAATGCTGCAGCTGCAAAATGTCCATTTTTTAAAAAATGGCTTAATAGTATTCCATGGTATACATATACCACAGCTTGCCAATCCGTTCCTGGGTTGAGGGGCATTTAGGCTGTTTCCACATTTTAGCAACTGTAAATTGAGCTGCGATAAACAGTCTAGTACTAGTGTCTTTATAATAAAAGGGTTTTTATCCTTCTGGATAGATGCCCAGTACTGGGATTGCAGGATCAAAGGGGAGGTCTAGGTCTAGGTCTTTGATATGAAAACAATGACACGGTGGGGCATGGGGAAAGGGGACAGCAGGCAGAGAGAGAAGGAAGGCGGGGGTAAGGGAAAGGAAAAAAAAATAAAAATAGTGACTAATTCTCATATAAATTGGATTTAATTTTGACCAAAGTACATTACTTAAACATTAATTTTTAATTCAACTTGTTAATAGGATAGTAAGTTATTTAGGATACTGCATCCTCATTTATAAGTGAAATATGTTTGTAATTTCTCTATGTAATAATATATTTTTTCCAATTTTAGTATTAAGTGTATCCAGATGAAGTAGAATGATTTTGAAGCATTTCTTCTTTTTCTATTGTCTATAAGATTTGGCATGATATATTTTTTGAAATTATCTTTTATTTTTACTTATAAATATTAGCTGTCTATTTTTTGAGACTTTGGGAAAAAAATACTAAGAAGTAGTTAACTGATGACTCCATACTGAACCTCAGAGTCAAAGCATTCTATGATAAACATACTCTTATCTGACAATGTGAATGTTACTCTTTTGTATTATTATAATTGCTCGATAAAAAAATAAAAATACAATGTACATAATTAAAAGCAGTTTATGGCTAAAAGATTTTAATGATCGTGTGAGCTTTCAGGGAGTCATACTTGTTTAGCTGGTGGAGGATCTTGCCTTGGTGTTGATGGTTACTGACTAAGGTGGTAGAGTCTGCCATGTCAAAGTCTGCCACGTCAATAGACTTTTTTTTTTTTTTTTTTTTTGAGACAGAGCCTCAAGCTGTTGCCCTGGGTAGAGTGCAATCGCTTCATAGCTCACAGCAACCTCCAACTCCTGGGCTCAAGTGAGTCTCCTGCCTCTACCTCCCATGTAGCTGGAACTACAGGTGCCCGCCACAACGCCCAGCTATTTTTTGGTTGCAGCCGTCATTGTTGTTTGTGGGCTGGGCTGGATTCAAACCTGCCAGCTCAGGTGTACGTGGCTGGCGCCTTAGCTGCTTGAGCCACAGGCACCGAGCCAATAGACTTCTTTCATGAAAGATTTCTGTATACCACACAGGCTGTTTGGTAGCATTTTACCAACAGTAAAACTATTTTCAGAATTGTAGTCAATCTTTTCCCAATACTGCTGCTGCCTTTATCAACTTGGTTTATATAACACTGTAAATCCTTTGTTGTTCACAGCATCTTCTCCAGGAACATATTACATCCCAGGAAACCACTCTCTTTGTTCATCAGTAGGAAGCAACTCCTTATCTATTCAAGTTTATTATGAAATTGCAGCAGGCTCTACTTCTAATTCCAGTTCTCTTGCTATTTCTACATTTGTAGTTACTTTCTCCACTGAAGTCCTGAACCCCTCAAAGTCATCCATGAGTGTGAGAATCAACTTCTCCCAAACAACTGTTAATGCTGATACTCTAACCACCTCTCATGTATCACAATTTCCCTTCCAAGAGACAAGGTCTTGCTTTGTCACCCAGGTGAGTATAGAGCCATGATCATAGCTCACTGCAATGTCCAACTCCAGGTCTCAAGTGATCCTCCCACCTCAGGAGAGTACCTAAGACTACAGACACATGCCACTACCCCTGGCTAATTAAAAAAATTTTTTTTTGTAGAGACAGGGTCTCACAAAATGTTGCCCAGGCTGTTCTCAAACTCATGGGCTCAAGTGATCCTCCCACTGTGGCCTCCTAAAGTGCTAGAATAATACCACTGTGCTCAGCTACAAATGTTCTTAATGGCATCTGGAATGGTAAATCTTTTCCAAAGATTTTCAATTTATTTTGCTCATATCCATCAGAGGAATCATTATGGCAACCACTCCTGCTTTACAAAAAGTATTTCTTAAAAAGATCTGAAAGTTGAAATTAGTCCTTCGGTGGAATGGAGAATGGAGAATGTGAGAACACCAAACTCTCTGTATGTCTCCATCAGAATTCTTAGATGACCTGGTGCACTGTCTGTAAGTAATATCTTAGGCCTGGCGTGGTGGTTCACACCTATAATCCTAGCACTCTTGGAGACTGAGGTAGGTGGATTACTTGAGCTAGACACCAGCCTAAGCAAAGGAAAGACCCCTATCTCTACTAGTAACAGAAAAACTAGCTGGGTGTTGTGGCTCATGTCTTTAGTTCCAGCTACTGGGGAGGTGAGGCAAAGGATTGCTCAAGCCCAAGAGTTTGAGGTTGCTGTGAGCTATGATGATGCCACAGAAGTCTACCCATGGCAACAAAATGAGACTATAAAAAAAAAAACAAACAAAAAAACTTCTTTTTTAAAGGAAATCTTTTTTTCCTATGAGCAGTTCTCAACACTCAACAATAGGCTTAAAATATTTAATAAACCATACTATAAACAGATATGCTGTAACCCATGGTTTATTTTTCATTTCAAGAACACAGGCAGAGAAGAGTTAAGGGTCCTAGGATTTTCAGACTGATAAATAAGCCTTAGCTTCAACTTAATGTCATCAGCTACATTATCCTGTATCAAAAGTCAGCCTGCTCTTGAAACTTTGAAAACAGGCATTGACTTCTCTAGCTATGAAAGTCCTAGTTATTTACATTGAAAATCTGTTGTTTAGTGTAACCACCTTCATTAATTAGGTGTATTCCTGGCCTTCACAGAGTTGAAAAGAGTTAAGTCTTATTTTGTATTAGGCTTTGGCTTAAAAGAAGATTGTGACTGGTTTGATCCTCTATTCAGATCACTCAAACTGTCTCCAGATGAGCAATAAGGTTGTTTTGCTTTCTTATTCATGTGTTCACTGTAACAGATTTTTTAAATTTCAGAATATTATAGGGGTATACATACTTTAGTTACATAATTAGCTTTTGTACATTTCAAGTCAAAGTTATAAATGTGCCCTTCACCCAGAATGTGTGCACTATACTCATTAGATGTGAATTAACCCAATCCTTCCTCCCTCCTCCCACCTACTTGGTTCCCACTGAGTTTTATTTCTAAGTACTGACTGATCAATTGCAATTTAGTATTGAGTATATTGAGTATATGTTATGTTTGTTTTTCCCTTCTAGCCATACTTTGCTTACAAGAATGGTTTCCAGTTCCATTCACACTGTCACAAAAGTTACTACATCGCTTTTTTGTTGTTGTTGTTGTTATGGCTGAGTAGTACTCCATGGCATACATACACAGAGAGAAAAAGAACACTTACACTCTGTTGGTGGGACTGCAAGCAAGTATAACCTCTATGGAAAGTAGTATGGAGAGACCTCAAAGAACTCAAAGTAGACTTACCCTTTGATATAGCAATCCCACTACTAATTACTTAAAAAAAAAAAAAAAGATATTTTATAAAAAGACACTTGCACTCGAATGTTTATAGCAGCACAATTCACAATTGCAAAGATGTGGAAACAACCCAAGTGCCCATCAATACATGAGTGAATTAATAAAATGGTATGTGTATAGCATGGAATACTTCTCAGTCATTAAAAAAATGGAGTAATTTCCTTCAAGAATTTTTCCTTTGCATTCACAACTTGGCTAACTGGTGTAAGACATCTAATGTTTCATCCTATTTCAAGCTGTGACATGCACTCCTCATTAAGCTTAATCCTTTC